CTCAGTTTTGGATTTTTGTGCTGAACATTGGGTTGATAATGTAGAGATGCTTTTGTTGTCGCTGAGCAGGACTCACATAGAGCAGAGGCCTTCTCTGCTTCTCCTGCTGCCACAAGTGTATGGGTGTGTATGGGAGTGCATGGGAAGCTGTGAGGAGACACAGCCAGGACAGGTGACTCCAACTGACCAAGGAGATATTCCAGACCATGTGGCATCGTGTCCAGTATACAATGTGTGGGGAAGAAGGAGGAAGGGGGCCTTAGGAGTGATGGCATTTGTTTTCCTGAGTAACCAGTACATGTGATGAGGCCTTGCTCTCCTGGAGATGGCAGAACACCTGCCTGCCCATGGGAAGCAGTGAATTATTTCCTTCTTTTGCTCTGCCAGTGTGCACAGCTTTTGCTTTCCATATTAAACAGTCTTTATCTCACAAGTTTTCTAGTTTTTTCCCTCCCAGTTCTCTCCCTGATCCCGCTGGTGGGGAGAGAGCGAACGGCTGCATGGGGCTTGGTTGAGGTCTGGAGTTAAACCACAACAGCCTCTTACGATGTCTCCTCATTTCTCATAAAATTGAGTATATACCAAGTGTACAGAGGTGAATAAACATGCTGTTGAGCTGCCATATTTAGGCATTCTTGGCTGTGTGGTTACCCCTGCTTTGATATTGTTAGTGATGTACTTTTAGATTGATCTATTTGTGCATCTTCCCTGTTTCCTATGTTTAATAGATTTTTTTATGATTAAAACAAATGCCAGACATGTGAAGGTTTGTTACTGGAAAGTCAATAATAAAAATATCACTCACAGAACTATTACCGTGGCTTCTCTAGATGCAGCAGTTCTTTTGATTTTATTTGTTTTCAGCGCAGTCACATGTGGACAGTTTCATTGCTGTGTTCTTATTATCACTTAGGAAAAGGAGCTTCTGGTACAAATTCAAAGTTAATTGCAGAGAAAGATAAGTTTGGGGCTAGAGACCAGTTACAGTGCATACATTAGTCAGGAGAATAAGTTTCTGTTTGACAATAAAATCCAATGTTTTAAAACACTGGGACAAAACTGAGACAAAAAGCCACACAAATACTTAATTTCAAAATGCTAAACAGTTCTCTAAAGGAATCATCAAATCTAGCTGGCAGTGAGTGAAATGCAAGCTATCCTAAATCACTCTGTTCCCCAAGACCGTTGTCACTTACCACATCCACTCTGGACCTCAAGATAGCAATGAGGTGTAACATTCCACTACCACAAAGCATCTAATTTAATAGATATAAATAGTATCTAATTTAATTAATATAAATTATTAATCATCGTTGTCATTTTCATCACTTATAGAATGGCAGCTGGCTGCTCCCTAGGTCAGTCCAGCATAAGAACAAGGAAGTCATGTGTTTTCATACTTGCATAAGCACGTGCTTTGGAAACAGGCTCCACCTTACAGCTTAAGACGTTCTGGTTGCAACACCATTCCTCACCAGTGTTGTCCACCTTGAAATGACATCATAATAAACAAGCATCTTCCCTGGTTTGATTCATAACCAGGAATTCATTTCTGAATCATTTCAGCTTCCCCTCACCATAATCTGCTGCTTTTGCTGTGTAATTACTGATTGCAGCATGGGACATTTGGAGTTAGGTTACCCACCTATTTTGCATTTCTTGGCATCTTGTTTGGAGCCACAGCTCACTGAGGCTTTGAGATCTGCCTTCATCCTCAGTGGGGGTATTTCAGCTTCCCCTTTGCAGGCACCAAAATAGAATATTCAACAGTTAACTGTGCATGGAAACATATCCCTTCCATAAAAATCTTTACACTGACAGCCTACAGTTTTCCACCGTATTTCTTGCTGAAAATTACATCAAATTTTGTGAGCTATCATTTTATCTCAGCTCAACAGAAAAACATCTTATGAACCCCATAAACTGTAGTCTGAATGGTGTATATAATACAGATGTGTATATCAGAACACACTGTGAATTTATTCCATTTTTTTTTCCTTTTATGACTTGCCAATAAACAAGACCTCTAATGTAACTCATTTGAAATGCAAAGTCCACCAAATAAGTAGCGTTCTCTTCATTGCCTTTTTACATAAACAGTGTGTGGAAGACTTCATGGTGATTGAGATGAGCTGGTGTCACAGGAGAAGCACATTCTTACGGACCTAAGTATGTGTGTAGCTTTTTATTCAAAAATATTTATGGTACAGTGGTGCGGGACTGTAGTTTTAGAGTTGGATAACGCATGTATGGGAAACTGAGGACTCACAAAAGCAGTTTTAAAGGTGTGAAATGATAATCAGAGGATTCACTGATTTAGGGGGCACACTTAAAATCATCATCTACCTTTTTGCTCCCAGCCCGGCAAACTAGATAGCAGGAATTTACTACATGAATTAGGAAGTGTTTAACTTTGTAGCCCCAGCGAAGTAGCAGCAGAGGGAGGAGAGAGCACTTGCTGTCCGGGCCCTGGGCCGGCTGGGATGGAGCGGCCAGGCGGGATGGAGCCAGCAGTGCCGCCCCGCTGGCCGGGCCGGCCGGGCACGGGAGAGCCCCCGACGTGGCAGCAGCAGGAGCAGGAGCAGGAGCAGGAGCAGGAGCAGGAGCAGGAGCAGGAGCAGGAGCAGGAGCAGGAGCAGGAACAGGAGCAGGAGCAGGAGCAGCAGCGGGATGTCCCGGCGTGGCAGAGGGAGCTGCCGCCCTACAGGTGCCCTCGGGCAGCCAGCCAGGCTTG